TAAGACCACCATTAGAATTTTTTTTATCCTGATTTACCCAATGTCTTAAAATACACATAGATTCAATTTCCAGGTTCATTGCTGTTCCTCTTAATGTTGTACTTTTTATACTAGAGTCAGTGAGGATTTCTTTCTTTTTTAGAGACAGCATTTTGCTCTGTTGCCCAGTCGGTGAGATCACAGCTCCCTGCCGCCTCAAGCTCCTGTGCCCAAAGTCATCCTCCCACCTTACCTTTCTGAGTAGCTGGGACTACAGGAGTAGTTTGTACAGACAAGTTTTTTTATTATTATTTCTTGATAAAAAATGAAAATTTTATTTCATGAAGACTTGCCACACACTGCTAGATTTATTTGCCCCTGCAGAGTAAGTTGACCCTAAGAGCACTTTGAATGAATCCTGATGGGTAATCCCTGTCAACTGAATGTTGAATTCAGTACATCTATCACATATTTTTTTATTAAAGAAAAGCAAAGCAAATGTATTGAAATTGGTATAATATTTTCAAAAAAATCTATCTAAGCTTCATTGTATGTATATTCTCAGGCCAGCAATGGCTCTTGATTTAACAGAAAAAATTTTATGGCCCATTCTGATGTTTAGTTTATAGCCTCTCTATCTTGTTTGCCAAAAGAATAAAAAGTCTGTTTTACATAATCAACAAAAATAACAAGCATTTACATGGCTGAGCAAACTGGGAGATGGTTAATTGTAATCTGCTTAACAGTTACAATTGAGAAATTCTAAAACTAGTGAAATACTCATCTCAGAAAGACTGGTTGGATCATGAAACTTGCAAATGTGTATGCTTTCTTTTTTTTAAAAGGTCAGAAATTCATCACATAAGGAGTAGACATAATAAAGAGTCAATGTGAATAACGGAAGGTAAAAGCAAATGATAAAGTCAAAGCAAATTGTAATTTAAATATCAGAGATTAAATTGGATCTATTAAGAAGCAAATTATATATGTTTGACAGAAATGTCAAAACTAAACCTCACAGGTAAATAATTAATGTCTAATTTCCTATAGTTGCAAAAATATTAGGTAAAACTTCATGTATCTGTCTCCATTCTTAATATTATAACAGAGGCATAGTCAAAATAGTCAAAACTTCCTAAAGGCTTATTAAAAAATACTGAATTATAAAAAAAACAGAGTTTAAAATAAGTTAAAGGGCTTACGTTCACCAATGATTATTTACTCCAGGTCTTCATTCTTTATATTAATAAAGCATCTTAAAGTCATACATTTAGCACATCTTACATGGCTCCTTACCCAATTTTTTTTTTCCTAGTAAAATACTAAGCTTACAGCGTGTAATACATCCTTCCTTAACAAAGCAATGCATCTTCCTCATAAACCCATGCAGAGATTGATGCTAATCATAAAAGAGACAATTGCTGCTCCTTTTAAATTTTAAAGTAGAAATAAATGCAAATAATGGCAGTCAGGTAACTATTGTGAGATAAACATGGCAAATTTAAATAAAAGCAACTATCGACCTTTATTTCACTCTTCGATTTCCCATGTTAAACATTTGGTTACCAACAGCTGTGTATGATTAGAACTTTGAAACGACTTTGTTACCCCCCAAGTCTATATCACTCTGCTTAAAATTCAAGTGATTTTAAACTTTCATTTAGTATGAAGCATTTAGAACCTTCTTGGAACCACTTTTTCTGTCCCTGTTACATAATTGATAACAGTGATGGTCTCCCTAATGCGTGATTGGCTTGTGGGGGAATTGGTATTTAATTTTAGTTTGATAATATGGACCCTAACTGCCAAGAAATCCATTTCTCTTAAGGCCTTAACCTTTTACTCAACAAGTGAATATATTGAAGCACAGTGTAATTATTTTTATACTGTTTATTTATAGCACGAAGAGAGTTACTGAGAGTCATCTGTATAGTCTTCATTTAGGGATTCCAGTGGTTCTATGTTGTTTTCCATGTAGACTATTACAGATGAAAGGAGCTGAGCAAACTATAAAGGCAGTACACTACTCAGGCACTATGTAAGAGAGCCAGTACTTTTCTGACTATTATGTGGGCTCCTCCCGGGAAGAGTCCACATGAGCATTTACACTCTATCATCAAGGACTAAAATTAGGAATGAAAACATCTGATCCCCAAATGGCACCAGCTTCATTTTAAAAGTAGTTCATAAATAATTACTTAACCTTAGTAAAAATAATTATCATTGTTTGTCTACATACTGTTGGTATTCTATATGTATTATTTAGGTTGTACAATAATATAAGATATAGTTGACATAGTATAAGATGCACATATTTATAATGTATGATTTGATTCCTTTGACTTATGTGTATACTCATGAAACTATCACCACAATCAAGATAATAAACATATCCATAATACACATACGTTTTCTTGTGCCCTTTGGTAATTCCCACCTCTGGCCTTTATCCACTCCCCTCTTCCACAAGCAAGAGCTGATCTACTTTCAGTCACAACAGATTACACTTTCTATAATTTTATGTGAATTAATGCATGTAGTGTGCACTTTTTAAAAATATAGCTTGTTTTCTCAGCAAAATTGTATTTGTTTTATTCATGACATAGCACACATCAATAGTTTATTTTCCTGTTTATAATAATGCCTTTATTGAAGTAATTTACATACTATAAAATTTACCCTTTTACAGAGTTCAGTTCAGTGTTTTATAGTACATTCACAGAGTTGGGCAAGCATCAACACTATCTGGATTTAGAACATTTTTCAGCGCCTCCAAAAGAAACTTCATATCCCTTCGTAGTCATTTCCCAACAGACTCTAGAAACCAATAATCTATCTACTTTTTATGTCTATAGATTTACCTTTTCTGGACATTTGATGTAAATTGATTCACACAATATGTGGCTTTTGTGAACTCATTTATTTTTATTGCTAAGTAGTATTTCACTGTATGAACAAACCACAGATTGTTTATCCATTCATCTGCTGATGTACATTCGGGTTTATTCTGCTTCAGATAAAGATATTGTGAACATATGCTTTCCTTTCTGCTGGGTAAATGCTGTTTAGTGAAATGGTTGGGTTATACATTAAGTATACATAAAACATTTTGAAAAACTTGCAAATTGTTTTCTAAAGTAGCTGTACAATCATACATTCATATCAGCAGTGCATGACAGTTCTAGTTTTTCTATTTACTAATTAACACTTAGTATGGACATCTATTTTAATTTCAGCCATTCCAACAGATATATAGTAGTATTTGAATGTCGTTTCAGTTTATATTTTTCTAATGACTAATAACGCTGAGCATCTTTCCATTCATTTAATTGCTATCCATATACCATCTATAGTGAAGTATTTAAATATTTTGCCCACTTTAAAATTGAGTTATCTTTTTTATTTTAAAAATCATTTATTCTTTCTATAATTATATAAGTACATTCACAACAAAGGTGGCTTAATGTTTTTCTATTCTTTTGGATATTTGATTTCTAAAAGTGAACTACAAAGAAAGGTCAAAAATTTTTTTTTTTTTTTTTTTTGAGACGGAGTCTCGCTTTGTCGCCCAGGCTGGAGTGCAGTGGCCGGATCTCAGCTCACTGCAAGCTCCGCCTCCCGGGTTTACGCCATTCTCCTGCCTCAGCCTCCCGAGTAGCTGGGACTACAGGCGCCCACCACCTCGCCCGGCTAGTTTTTTTTTTTTTTGTATTTTTAGTAGAGACGGGGTTTCACCATATTAGCCAGGATGGTCTCGATCTCCTGACCTCGTGATCCGCCCGTCTCGGCCTCCCAAAGTGCTGGGATTACAGGCTTGAGCCACCGCGCCCGGCCCAAAATTTTATATGAAAGTTACAAACTATTTGTTTTGCAACTTTAGGCATCCAGGAGCAAAATATCTGGAGAAGATACTCTTTGCTGGAGAAAAATCACACTGAATTATTACTTATCATAATGGAGGTGTTCGGGTTCGCTATATAGCCAACTTCCCTTGCCATACATTGTTTGATAGTTTCCAGATCAATCCTTATCAGAAGCAGATTGCAGTTCTCCTAGTCTCAATTTTTGCTTTACTTAGCTGTTGTGTCAATTCCAACCTATGCAGCAATGTCAGTATATGTGGATTGAGAAGTCTATGGCAAGTCACCCGGGTGACCACAGACTCATTAAGTTACAATGTTCCTCTTATTTCCCTAACTCCATTCTTTATTCTTCTGATTTGCTCTACGTGCAACAGTCATAATTATTCTTTAAATACAAATAGGATCTTTTTCCCCCCTCTGTTTAAAACTCACCCACCAGTGTGTGGCATGTATGTAGTCCCAGATACTTGAGAGGCTGCAGAGGGAAAAGCGCTTGAGCCCAGGAGTTTGAGAACAGCATGGACAAAATAGTGAGACTCCATGTCAGAAAACAAAATACCAAAAACTCACCCATGATTTTTCTTTGAGTATAAGCTAAAGTTCTACTACACCTTCTGTTAGAGTGAGCTAAATATGGGCTGAGAAGGACTCCATACTTCTATATTTGCGTCCTTGAGGATGAACTATATCTTAGCGTAACAGGCAGACAAGATTGATAAACTAACTTAGGAGTATTTTCCTGTAACAATAGCTGAGTCTTGGCCAATTCCAGCAGCCGTTCTTCAACCACTCGTAGACTGCTGACTGTTCAAGCTCTGCTCAAATAAAGCAAACGCCAACCTGTAACCAATCCAGCTGTTTCTGTACCTCACTTCTGATACCTGTATGTCACTTTACTTTTTTGTCTGTAAATTTGTTCTGACCACTAGGCACCCCTGGAGTCTCTGCGAATCTGCTGCGATGCTGGAGGCTGCCCGATTTGCAAATCATTTCTTCTTTTTTAACTCAGTTAAACTCCATCAAATTTAATTTTTCTGAAGTTTTCTTTTCAAACTTATAAGCCCTACCTCATTTGCACCACTGCTGTTCAACTTCCTCCCCATGCCCCCCCGCCCCCCGCCCTCCTTCTATTGCCAATTTCCTGATCGCCTCTCTTACCATTCTCTCTCTCTTTTTTCTTCTTCCACCACCCTGGGCTCCTTGTCATTCTCAAACATAGCAAGCACACAACCCTCTCATGAAATTTGTAGTTGTCAGTTCCTCTGCTGAAAATATTTTCTCTCAGTTATCTGCAGAGCTTGTTCCCTGTTCCCTTCAGATTATGCTCAAGGGGCTGTCTGCTCCATAAAATATAGTCCCCCAGTCCTGCCATCATTACACTGTCCAAACCTGTCTCTCTTATCCTCCCTTATTTTCTTCCATAGCCCTAATTTATGACCACACGACATCCTTCTATGACGTTGTTTATTGTTGCTTCCGCCTCTAACATCAGAGAACCGAAGCTTCATATGAGCATGGGAATTGCTGTTTTCATATATTTATCCCTGGTTCTGGGAGGATGCTTGGTGCGTAGTAGGTATTCAATAAATATTTTTGACTGAGACCTCTCCTTTGTAACACTTTCCTTGCCAGCATCTCAGTTGTGTACCTTTGTTTATTATAGCTTCCTTGAATGGGACTCTGACATCACGTTTAACTCTGGTAAATTTTTCCTTAGGTGAGCAGGCCGTTAAACTTAACCCTGCTAAAGTCTTGACTGAAATAGACCTACCAGCCAGGACCACAGTGCTATTGCCTGCTTTATCACTCACTGCTTAGAAGGTGGTGCACCACTACATAACGAACAAATGGGGTTGGGTGCGGTGGCTCATGCCTGTAATCCCAGCACTTTGGGAGGCCCAGGAGGGCAGATCATCTGAGGTCAGGAGTTCGAGACCAGCCTGGCCATCATGGCGAAACCCCGGCTCTACTGAAAGTACAAAAATTAGCCAGGTGTGATGGCACACGCTTGTAATCTTAGCTACTCAGGAGGCTGAGGCAGGAGGATCTCTTGAACCCAGGAGGCGGAGGTTGCAGTGAGCCAAGATGGTGCCACTGCACTCCAGACTGGGCGACAAGAACGAGACTCTGTCTCAAAAAAAAAAAAAAAAAAAGAACAAATGGGAGTGATAATCTTTCACAAACAATATAAAACATTGTTTTCAGGTTTTCAAACTTTTAATGGATTATAACATCCATATTTTTTTCAGTCACCAAAGACAATGGTAGTGTCTTAAAGCCATAAGAAAATAAAAGTATACTACTTAAAAGATAAGAAAAAAAATTAAAACTAACATCAGTTTTCTTAACTACAACAACAGAAGCCAGTGAACTATATTTACAATGCTAATCAAAAGTAACTTATCATCGTACTTCTTCATTTTGAGTGAGTGTGAAAGAAAGACATTTTTCGACAAACACTCAAAATTGCCACTAAGAGTCCAAGTGAAAGAACCAAAAAGCACTGGACTTCATTCAGAATGAGGGAGTAAAATATATGACACTTTAAAAAAAGCCAGTCAACAATTGGATATTTCTAAACAACCATGTCCTTTTCCATTTGACAAATACGACAATTTTGTTTACACATTGTCTTTATCTTCTTTTTGTATTTTTTAACTTCTCTTACATCTTTCATTGGTTAACACATAACTAAGCTCCCTTGAGTCATTTAGTTATGTGAAGCACTTTTTGATTATCGTGTCTGCTGATTTTTCTCTCCTTATAGAGCCATCAGGGAGCATGACTAAGAGCAGAGAAGTAAAAGAAAAACGTGGGTTGAGTGATGCTACCAGAGCTCAAAGACAGATATGTTTCCGCAAAAAAAGGTAGTAATCAACTATACTCAATGAGAAGACAAGTGAGGCGAGGATAGAAATACACACCACAGAGTCAGCAGCCTTGAATTTGTTGGTGATCTTGGCAAGTGAAGACACAGTGGAACAAAAATTGGAATGGAATATATGGAAGAATGGGGTGAGCTTGTACAATCACTTAAATATATGAATTTGGCTCTCTTTTCAGACCCTATTAAGTGGAGAGTAGAGGAAATTTTAAAATCAAGCCTACAAGGACAAAGAGTATGAAACAGCAGTCAAGAGATGACAAACCATTTTGAAGATAGATCTTGGCTTAGTGAATAGTGGCCATGGATAAAATGGAAGCCTCAGTGTCTTCAGAGGCGATGACTAGAAGACTCATGATAGTCACCTTGGAGAACTGGCAAAACTCAGAAATTAGGTGCAACATGGACCTCAAGTAAACAAGATGAAAGAAAGGACAAAAAAAGATGACCTAGTTGAGAGTGAGCATAGTCGGCAGTTGAGTTCCATTTTCCCTTTCTGCAACAACATGACCTTTTCCTTACAGTCTGTAGTTTAGGTTTATTACCAAATGGTTTCTCAAACACCTGGAAGCAACACTTTTAGATCAGGGTCTAGAGGTGAGAAGCACTGGCTGGTACAAGATCACCATCTTGCCTCACTCAGGGTAGCCGAATGCTAAACCACAACAGCCATAATAATATCTTTTGCCATATATCTACATGTCATAATCTTTGCCATATCCAGTAAGCTAGAGCTGTGGGAATGAGGGTCTCTCTGTGTGTGCTTATCTTTCAAGGTAAAAATAATATGTTTATATTTTGGAAATTGTCTCATGATTATTAGTGTTTTTAGTAATGTTACGGGCAGGTCTTTGTTCTTATAGCTCCCAAGATGGCGGCAAGCCTTTTATTCTCTGACCTGGGGTTCTTGGCCTCACAGATTCCAAGGAATGGAACCTTGGACCATGCGGTGAGGGTTATAGCTCTATTAGAAGCCATGAGTCACGCAAGAGAACTGTGGAATCCAGCAACTAGTGTTCAGCTCGATTAGGAACAATGGTGACCCTTTAGACTGGTCAGGAGAGGCAGTTGGCACCTCACTGGATCGGGAGCGCAGCAGATACCCTGACGGATCCAGATGGGTGGAAGTCAGCCTTGGGTTGGTGAGGGCAGCGAACAGCAGTGTTGGAGGGTGAGTGAAAGCTCAGCTTGAGTGGGAACAAACACGGACCAGAAGAGTGTACATTTGCAAGATTTAATAGAGTGAAAACAGAGCTCCCATACCATGGGAGGGGACCCAACGGGGATTGCCCACTACTGGCTCCAGTGCTTGGGGTTTATATCCCAATCACTGCCCCTCCCCCTATGCTCTCAGGTGATATATGATTTGACTGTTTCTTTACCTCCTGCTTTTAGCCTAATTTGTATTTTAGTGAGCCCTCTTTAGTATCTGATTGGTCGGGTGTGAGCTGAGTTCCAAGCCCCATGTTTAAAGGTGGTTGCAGTCACCTTTCCCAGCTAGTCTTAGGAATTCTTTGTTGGCCTAGGAAATACAGCTAGTCTTGTCTCTCAGTAACTTTAGTAACTTTTTAGTAACTTTAAAGGCTAACTGGATCACGTAGTAAAGTGGGAAGAATGTTATGTTCTGCATTCAAGCAGATCTGGGTTCAAATCCTTTGATACCAAATCTCCTTTAAATTTTCTTTCTGCATCTGTAAAAGGGGATAGAAACATCTAACATATAAAGATATTGGAAAACGTGATAATGTACTAGATTGAAAGTGTCTGCTGTGTATTTGACACTGAATGACTGTCAACTTCCTCTCTGCTCCGTAACCTTACCGAGGTACCTAACTGCAGCACATAACTGAGTCTATAGGAGAGTCATACCAGGTGGCTTTTGGTGAGTTACAAATAAAAATTTAGGGCAACAATATTATAGTTTCTAGTCTCAAGTTTTTACATAAGTAATTAGTCGACTTCTCCTTTTATAAAATAAATACTGTAATTATAATTAAAAACAATGTTTTTATAAAGTTTTCTTAACTTTGTCTTCATGGGTATGCTATGCTATGAAGAGTAGGATAAATAGATCTGGTTTACGTACACAGAATTTAAACACCCCAAAATAAATGTAAAACTCTCGGATAATAAAACACAGATGAAACACTACAGCAGTCCTTAAATAGTTTCCTAAAGGAATTTTACACATCTTGTTTATTCTCTGTTGTCATTTTATTCAAGAAAACTAAATTTCCTTACACATGTTAAAGTCTCTCATCAGCTGCCATAAGAACAATGTACTAAATATTTATGTTGCCAAGGGCTTCTTTTTAAAAGCAACCTGTAAATTGTTTTGCCAATTTATATTGCGTTTTTTTCTCCGAAAATGATGCTTTTGCTTCTCTCCAGCATTTATAATAAGTTAGGCAATAATGGAAATAGTTTGACTCCAGTAATGGTGAAATGGGAACTGCAGACATTTCATGTCATAACTGCAGTCCAGGGTTACAGAATGCTTGCACATTTGATGAATTATCTTTCTCTACAACTAAATGTGTGTCTTAATTCTGCATATAGACCTTAGGCAATTATTAATCTTCAGTAGCAGAAAAACCTAAACCCAATCTTTTTATATTACCTCATTATTCCTGTTCATAAATGAAAATTTAATTTCTGTTATGCCGCTTAGTGCAGTCAACTGTTATATTATTAATTATAGAACTGCTGCTAATGCCTAGGAATGATATTTTAATAAGGTTTAATCTCTTTTCCACATTCTAGTGTCTTTCATAATTATGTCTCAGTTTTTCTCCTTGCTTTTATTTTATTTGCAAACAAACCCAGTAGTGCAAACTATAATTCTGAGTTGGCTGGTGTTTCTGAGACAGACATATCACTCATAAACTGGGCTCTGTGAATCTGCTCAGAAAAAAGGGAACAAAGAAAGACAACTTAATTTTAAATACTAGCTGCAATATGGAACCACATCTCGCTTTAAGATTTAGTTTTTCCACAATTGCCAAGGGATGTTTTATGCATGTGGCAATCATTCAGGAAGGTTTTTAAGCTGGAAATTGTTTTGTGTATATTACAAGAAACATAATTTGTATTTTCAGATATGCTTTAAGGCAGTTGGGAGTTTTCCAGAGGAGAGTGTGCAGATTTGTGGTCATGTATGTATGGCAGAAAGAAGGTGAAAATTGAGCTACAGTCATGTGCTGCATAATGATGGTTCAGTTAACGATGGAACACACATACAACAGTGGTCCCGTCAGGTTCTAATGGAGCTAAAATATTCCTATCACCTAGTGACAGGATAACCCTCATAATCTCCCAGCACAAGGCATTACTCGTGTGTTAGTGGTGATGCTGCTATTAACAAACCTACTGTGCCGCCAGTCATAAAAGTGGTACTTGCAATTGTACATCATACTTGATCACGATAAATGACTATGTTACTGATTTATGTATTACTACGCTATATTTTTATCATTATTTTAAAGTGTATTCCTCCTACTTATTAAAATAAAAGTTAACTGTAAAACAGCCTCAGGTAGGTCCTTCAGGAGGGATTTCAGAAGAAGGCTTAGTTAT